TTGCAGGCACCAGATTAGCAAGTACCGTGTATGTGTGATAACAGTTAAACGATGTTGGATCAGGAGGTTGTGCACACGATCGCAGTATGCGGGCAGGCATTTTCATGCAGCAAACTCCACTTTCCACGCCTGTATATCTGTGGGCGAACACTTTGAATGTGCCGCAGTAAATGCTTTAAAACAGTTTAATAGAGCGGGACTTAATTCTTCGTGGATCATGCAGTTGCTGTCGAAAAACACAAGCAGGAGTGTTTTCATTCTGGATTTCTGTAGGTGACTCTTTTAGAGGTGCTGGGAAGCTAGTGCACCACCATTCCAGTATTTGCCATTTTGACTCCAGATCATACTGGTAGCACCAACTCTCATCTCATGTGACAATAGTTTGCAAGAAGGTTGAATCTTAGTCATATGTGTCAATGAAATCTCGAACAGTGTGCATTCATGTATCCATCTGCTCGTCGGACAATGAGTGCGAATGATGGGGCTAAAACTGTTCTTGCCAATTCGCAGATCTTCCGATATCCATTGTAAAGACAGTCAATGATTATTTAAGAGCTTCTGTCACACCCGCTTGATGTTCCCAGTTGTCACACTTGCTGAGGGTTCACCTGAACGTGGTTCGTTGTCCACGGTTTTCTTTTTATCCCGAAAATGTTTAAACCAGTAATACACACATTTTTTGCTCATTGCATCTCTTGCGTACGCCTGGACCAACATTACATGCATTTCTGTGGTAGTTTTTTCCCAATTTGTAGCAAAACTTGTGGTTTATCTATTGCTGCATTCAAATATGACGTTTGTTTTCAAACATATACTGTTCTACTGCCCTTGGTAGACTATTCAGCCTCGGTTTCTTGCACTTATTGCTACGTGCCAGCTCTCCATTGGTATCTACCTGCGCATGTGCAGTGTTGCAGCTCCCTGCAACACTTCTAACTCATGCTGTGTGTGAGATATCCATCCATTCACCAAATGTTTTAGATGCACCTTCCAGAATCTGTAAATTAAAAAAGTTACAAACATTGAAGTATATGATTCAGTACTTTGTTGACTTTATGAAAAACAGAAGGCTAGAAACAAGTGTAGCAATCTTGAGAACAACTTAGCTCTCGCAAATTTGAAAGAGTTGGAATTCTTGAAACTGGCGCAACAGAGTTCTTTTAGGCTAGTGGTAAAGAATTCGTGTAACAAAACGACTCAGGTTCAGGCTATGCTCATGCAATGCAGCACTTCTCACTGGTGTTAATAGACGGCGACATGAGCAAAGTAGCTACCGAGGCTTCACTGAAACTCATGATCATTACATTGGTGACCCGGAAAACTAGACTCTTCCCTCCACTGAGGACACATGGCGAACTACGTCACACGCTCCACCGCACAACCTAACGGTGACACACAGCCAACAGAAATGGGGTTCTTTTCATATCGCATCATAGATGCTTGGGCATAGAGTGTGTAGCAGTCTTGAGAACAACTCTACGCTCGCAAATTTGAAAGAGTTGGAATTTTTTAAACTAGTGTAACTGAGCACTTTTGGGCTAGCGGTAAAGAATTATACTCGTACATAACCGACGCAGGTTCAGGTCCTGGTCATGTGATGCAGCACTTCTTACCGACATTAATAGATGGCGACACGGGTGAGCAACTACCAAAGCTTCGCCGAAAACGTGATTTCTACGCAAGTAAAGATATTCCTTGCCCCCCTTTTTTTAAGACACGTTACATCTAGAAATACATTGTAATGATTTGTAGGAATGATTGTTGAATTACCCAAGATGGAGTTGATTAATTACTTTCCTATTTGAGTCAAATGATTAAATTTACCACAGGCTCAATGAATAATTTTCTTAGAATTTAAACTGAGCTGAATAAAATTGACATTTTTACATATCAACAGGCTTACATAAAAATAATTCTAAATCTCATTGGTGTACTTGATGCCAGTCGAGCTCTATGTGATACATTTTTAAGTAGCAGTGATGCTTTACTTATAAAGAATAAAGTAAGCAGATAACTAAAATTCTTATTGTGAAACAATTGAGTGTTTAAAGGATTTTATTGTGTTAAACATTCAGGTATTGCCTCTTCAATTTCATTTGCTGCTTTAAAAAAAAAAAAAAAAAAAAAAAAAAAAAAAAACCCTTAGAAGTTGGCTGGATTTCTATGAAGTAAATTGTTGGATTTCTCTATGAAATTAGAGGCCCACCAGCGGCCGAGCAGTAAAGTCGCTGAACACTGGTAGTTCGGTCCGAGGTTCGAATCCTGCGAACGGGCTGGCTGCATGGGCGTTTTCGTGGTTTTCCCCATGTGTAACATGTATACGAGCCAGTTTCCCTTAGAAAGTCCTCCACAAAGGCATCCTTCCTCTTAGGCAGATAGCCCTCGAGGCTTTGCCATAATCACACACACCACACCACACCACTCTATGAAATTATTTATCTTGGTCTTTTTTTATCTAAAGAAGAATGATTCAATTTTGGAATTATTGAAATTCCAAAGCTGAAATTCCAATTTTCTTGTTGAAGCTGATTTGTTATTGCTAGTGGGGTGTCAAAGAACATTGAGTTAAAGCAACTTTTAGGAAAAATTGCTGCTTTATATTAATGCTGAAAATGCTCTGAAAACTTCCACCAAAACCAGAGTTTCTGAAGCAGTCAAAGCATATAGAAATGTATTATGGAAGTGTATTACTTTGTGAAAGAATGTTTTTTAAATACAGCATGTAGTTGTTAAAATGCAAGTGGCTGTTATCTTAATTAAATCATTAGAAGACTGCATTTTAAAATGTCGTGAAACCTTATGAGCTGATAACTTAGCTTAAGAGAAAATGTTAAAGAGAAATAAACTGGATTGTAATTGAGCACCGTGTATTATTTATAAACTAATTTACTCGTGCAATATCTGCTGCTGACCTCTTAACTTAAAATTGCAATGTTCTTTCATTCATTGTAGCTGTAATTCTTGAATATTAAATGCTTTATTCTGATTTAAATGTTAAAGCTTTTCATTAAAAGTGTACTAGTATTTTATAAATTTGAACGTGGAATGTCTGAAAGAAGAAATTCATCATGCTCAAGGATTGTTAACTCTCTAGGCTTATGTAAATGTCAATTATTCTGAGATGACCCAACACCAGTTATTGAATGAATGCAGTGAACTAATTTCTGCTGTATGGCATACTGTTCCCCCCCCCTTGAACATGCTTTTATGATACAGTCAAAAGTCATTAATTCGGACACCCATAATCCGGAATGATCTATAATCCGGACCTCAAAGCTACAAACTTTCTGCGCATGCGTCGCGTTGACGTGCGCGCGTAAGACCTTTACGGCTGCGAATATGCTTGTGTGCATGCTCATAAAACGTTTACGCATGCGTATTTAATGTATAACGGATGGCGTAAGCTAAGCTAAAATTATCTAATTCAGTTAATGTTGCAGATTGCGTTGTTCCTTAATCTTCGAATTGGATCCGGCTTATTATTTTTTGCAGACTGTTAGAGCAATTTTATAAAAGTAAGCTTAAACTTTCGATTATATCAAAAAGAATTTCCGATATATATTTGTTAATATGTAAAGGAACTAAAGCGAAAGTATGTTTCGAAATCCGAAAACTGTTTATCAATTTTCACGCTGCTCGGCGGGGGGAACGCTGCAGCGCGCAATGAATTGGAAGTTGATCTGTCAGCACTGTCCTTATCTTCAGGGCAGATGTTTTTATTTTATTTGGCTTATATTTCCTTACCAAATGTAGTATTTCATCTCGATGTGCTCCGTCTTTGATATCATTTAAAACAAGTTCCTCGTCATTATAATTCGCTTCCGATTGTGAAGAAAGTGACAGAGGTTATTGAAAATGAAAAAATTTCGATTGACAAATTAGTCGGTATTCTTAACACAGCAATTATAGTACTTGAACAGCGGAACTTTGTAACTAAACAAGAAATTATGTCTGTTTAATAGAATTAAAGAGAAAGTATTATCACATGAAACGAAGCAACTTAAACAAAACAACTTACATTGAAAGAAATGTTTAATAAAGTAAACAAATAAATATTAAGCTTTTTCTTTTGTAAATTTTGATACCCTTTTAGATCATAATTGTTCTTTATTTCATAAATTACGGTTTCGTATTTTTAATTTTGTAATTTCTGCATGCCATCTTACCAGATTTAAACTGATGATCGGAAAAATCGATAATCCGGAATCGCCGAGGTCTCGAAGAGTCCGGATTGACTTTTGACTGTATCTCCTCAGTTTAGTCCTTTTTCTTTTACTTCTTGAAACTTGATATCTCTTGAACTGATTAAATTTTCTTTGTTTTCCCTTTTTACATTGAATTGTCATTGTAAGCATCCCTTCTGTTATGTTTGATTTAATTAGCAAACTGTAATTTAGTTTACAGGACCACATTTTAGCGATTTGTTTGTACTGTTGCTTTTAAGTATGCTATTTTTACATGCATTATACTACTTGTTATTATAATATATTTATTTTACTTTCATTTTAATATGAGCGTTATCATACTTTTTGTTGACACAAAAAGGATAATAGATGTTCATTTTAAACTTTTTATACTATTTTTTGTTTTAATGTACATTGCCATATCTTGCCATTTCAATTTTATTCAACGGTGTGTTTCATGTGTATAAAATTTAGGCATCACATAAACTGTAGATTGATTTTATGCTGTAAAAATTAACCTGTCAACCATCACCACCATGTTTATTTTCCTTATTTAATGTAGAATTTTAAAATTAAGAATTTTTTTATTTAATGTATTTGTTTAATTGTAAATTTTATGTTTTTCTAAATTTCTAGTCTCATTTTTGTCTTGTATGGAATTCACATTCTTTTTCTGAAAAATCGAAAGTGTGTTTCAGTATAAAATCAATTTGCTTTCTGTGCCAAGATATTTCTTTTGTTTTTGCACATTAGATTTAGCATTTTATTTAAACATTGTAACAGTAGTTTTGTAGTAATGTCTAATTTTGTATGCAGGTGCTGCAAGTCCTTCTACAAGAGCCAAAAGAAGAGCTCAGCGCAGGCTTACAAGAAATGAAAGCAGATACCATTCAGGTAGCTATATCTATTTGCATTCTTTTATGCAAGTGTCATTTTTGTATATGAAGTAGATTTATTTTTTAGTACTAAACACCCAGATTTTATCTTAATCTTAGTAATTTATCTAAATTATTTTTGATATTGCGATAATTTGCAAAAATTGCATTTTTCATTGTATTTTACCAAAAGTGATAAAGCAAGTTTTTAATTTACAGCATCATATGAACTTTAAATTTATTACATTAAAACATATTTCCTAGTAAAATATTCCTTTTTCCTGCATTACTATAGAAATTCAGAATATTTGGATAGTCATCATACATATCTAATTCTATATGGGGCGAGTTGTTCATTTTTGAATAGTTTAATTTTATTGGTTGTTTAAATAAATTTATGTATTTAGCTTTACGCAGCAGTGAGTGTATATAGTTGTTGATCAGGAAAAAAAGTGCAAATAGATTTATCATTAGGTGATGGAACTATTTTATGTGGATCTCTCCCCTTTTTAATTAATCCATTATATTTGAAACTGCATTTTATATTTCGCTCATGTTGAATATTCTAATTTTATTCTGAAGTAATATAAGATTTCTTTAAAGCTTTTGAAATGGTTTTTTTTTTCTTTTCAGTATAATACTTAATCGTTCGGTGTTGAAACCAAGATTTGCTTCCTTTAATTTAAAATTTTAGCTGTTCAAATTGTACTAACTTTGGGAAAACATACAGAAATATTTTATCAAAAGAATAAGTTATATAAAGTACTTCCACTTCATTTGTTGTATTATCTGAATATCAGAGAAATCAATTCAGAAGCAATTATTGCTTCTTATCTTCATTAATGATCTTTATGGCTGATTTTTGCAGAGGTGCGTCAAGAAGCTGTACAACAGGCTCTTGCTGCTATGCAGAGCAGGCCAAAACCGTCAGTCCCAATGCCATCTAAAAGAACCTCAGTTATGGCCACATCACCTTCTAGGGAACGCAGGGCATCAGGTGAGTTTTAAGCTATGTTGTACTTTTATTAGTTTATAAATCGGATTGAATAAAAGAGTGGAGTTTTCAGTTCAGGTTAGAAGTATTGATACATCAATAACTTCAGGAAAGATAACAAGGTGATTAGTTCAGCAATAGTTAACGGTGTTTTAAAACTATTTGAATGCTGTAAAGTTCTAAAAGTACTTAATTTTACAATTATTGCTAGCATGAAAGGTCAAACATTCTGACAAGAAATGCAGCTTCTAACTCCTTTAAGTTTTTCCTAAAAAAAAACTACATTAAAAAAAATAAGTGCTATTTATATAAAAATATTGACGACATGTTTGAGCTATTTTTACTGTGAGATGCTATGCATAATAGGAGAACAATGAATGAAGATCATCGTTACTGCCAGAGGGTTAGTGTTAAATAGACAAAAAAACCATTAAAACATTTTAATTTTCCATTATTTATCTTCGTAGTTAACTTTAAAGGGCTATGAGTGAGAACATTATTTCTTGAAAGTCATTTTATTTCTGTTTTTGCCTGCTTCATAATTTAGATTCTTCATCAGATGATGATAGTGCTCTTAATGAAGGTAGCACTCCAGAGCAAGAGCATTTGCCTCATTCTATTCATCAGGCAACAACATCTCAGTCAGACACTTCCAGCACCTCTTCCACCAGGGAAACTCCTTCTCCACAGCAGTGGTACAATGGAAGACCCAACAAAGTTGATGATTACTGGGCTCATCATGGTGGTTGCGCTAGTCCTATGACAAATCTTGCCGATGTTATGCAAAATCTCACTCCTAGTATGTTTCATTATTGTTATAAAATTTATATTTCACAAAATATATTTAAAAGAATTTTTGTAATTTAATCTGCTAGAATTGATCAGTGGTTCAGAGTTACTAAATATAGCATATGAATTTGTTAATGAATGATTAAAATAGTTAAAAAACCACAAACACTTGAAATGTTATATTTGAAAGATCTAATACATATTACCAAAAAAACTAAAATTACAGTTAAAAATAATATTAAAATATTGTTTACTTTTATTAATTTTTAATGATTTATGTTAAGTATAGTTATATTAGTGCTATAACTAAATTTAAGCATTTTATAAAATAAATTCTGTACAAAGCTAAAGATTTTCACTGTTTTGAATTTAAGTCGAAATTTCCTGAATAGATATATCACTAAGGCAGTTAGTCACTGTATTAGGTCATACAGCCTTTTTTTTTTTATATATTGTTTATCTGTATTAATACCTTGTGTGCTCTTTTATGCAACATGGGAAACATGGTTTGGTCATATATTGTTAAACCTTTTTTTAAATAGAAGTCAATGTATTTTAACGAGTTTCTTCCCCTTTTGTCCATAGGTTTAAATGTGCAACCAGATGTCACTAATACTTCAGGAGAAGTAACAAGGTGGACATCTGCTGATCATGTAAATCGTTACAATCAAGCTCATATGACATCAGTTCGTATCACTCATCATTCCTCTACTGGGCTCAGTTATGATACAGGTAAAAGCTTTATCTGTAGGTAAATGTTATTTGATATTTAAACACCTGAAATTTTAAGTATTCTGTGTAACATTAAGATTTCATATATTACTTATAGGAACTGGGAAGTGGAAAGTCTCTGCCAAAATTCAACAACTTCTAAATACTTTGAAGGTCGAAATTTTTTTTTATTATTATTATTGCTACTGTACTAATGTGAATGTATAATGAAACTTTTATATTTTTATGTCTGTGTTCAAGTAATATGTGCTTGAATTCATTGGAATTCTTTTAAAATCTGTGTTATTTGAAGTAACCATTTCACTTAATATATTTTTATAAGATGCTTTTCAGGTGTACATGAATACTTTTAAGGTGTTTTGTATTTTAATGTGAGGGAGATTTTTTAGCAATAGATCTGGGTTTTCTTTCTTTTTCTTATTAGTTGTTAATTTTTTTCCCTTTTATTTCTTTTTGTACACCCAGAGGTTTATAATTTTGTTCTGATTTCAGATTTAATTAGTTTCAGTTCCTGAGAGGGTGGGATTAAATTTTAAGGCAAATCTAATAATAGAAGTGGTTTTTTATTTTAAGTAATGTGCTGCATTTTATATTTTTATGGGTGGGGTGCAGGAAAAACGTGTGTTATTTCAGAATTCAGTTTTTGAAGTTTGTATATTAAGTTCTGGAATTTTTTAAAATCAGTTCTTGCTACATCAAGCAATTTCAGAGAACATGCTGCAATTGCTGAGGCAGATACAGCATCAGGGAATCGTGCAGATTTTTTACTAATGTGCTTACAAAGTCAAAAGATTTAGCGTACCATTTAATTATCACTTGCATCAGCTATTCTTAAGTAATTGTATAAACTTTTAGATTTCATTAAGGATTTTATCTTTTTTAAAACTCAGTTGAATATTCTAAGAAGTGTGTAATTTTAGTTTGCTAAAGATTAAATTTTATTTTGTGTTATTGAACCAATTGTGATTTTAAAGTGTATTTTTCTAAATCATTAAAATCTTCATTTAAGTATATATATTTATTTTACTTGTATCAGAGACCAAAAAGAAGACCTTTACCAGAATTCTATGTAGATGATGAATCTGATTTAGAAAGTGAGTGTTCAAATTTGCAATTTTTTTTTTCAAATATTTCTTTAAAACTGATTATACAAAATTAATGCCTGTGATATGTGTATCTTCTTAGCTAAGCAGCTAGATCCTAATGCTCCAAGGCCTGAGGGAAACATAATGGTACCTATCACTGGAGAGGAGCTTTTAGTAAGTTCTTAGCTTGATAAATTGCTTTTCTTACTTTTCTGGGCTTTATTATTATTATTATTATTTCAGAAATCAGAGAATCTATCGGGTCAGTCCATAAGTTCATGTGCATTAAGAGTATGCGTGGAATTCACCATGACGCATTTATTAAACAATACAATTTTGAACCTGTTGAAACTTGTCATCGTTTGACTAACATATTATTCAGTTCATCACCAACTATCGTAAATATCGAATGCATTTTAGTACCCATAGAAGATGAATATAGATAATCAGTTCAAATGTGCTGTGCTACATTTATTTTCGTGGGGTGAATCTGCCAGGTTTGCAGTGATAAAAATTAATAGTATACATGGTGAACACACTATTAATGTAAGGACTGCCCAGAAATAGTTTAAAAATTTTTAAGTTGGAAAAGCAGCATTGATGATGAACCCCGTTCAGAACATTTTGAACTGTTAGAACCAAATCAAAATGATTAATTCAGAAGTTTACAGTGGACAACTTTGCCATCTAGACTCAGAATTTGTCAAAAAACACATACGATTGGTGAATATCAAGAAAGTGTTGTTTCATCATGATAACACTAGACTGCATACGGTTCGAACAACGCTGCAAAAAATTAGTGAATTTAATTGGGAGCTTTTGCCACATCCTGCTTACTCCCCAGGTATTGCCCCAAGTGATTTTCACTTATTTCGTACCTTACAAAATTTTTTACTGGGAAAAAAAAATTAAATTCTAAACAGGATGTATGCAATGAACTTTCAAGTTTTTTTTAAATCAAAACCAGAGTCTTTCTACAGCAATGGCATAAAAAAGCTGCCTGTACGATGGCGAAACATTTGTAGATTATGGAGGAAAATATATAATTGATTAAAATGTTGAATTGTGTTTTTTTATATTATTAAAAATTTACCAAAAAAATGCACACGAATTTATGGACTGACCCAATAGACTATAGGAAAGTCACAAATGTTGCAGTTAAAACATTCTTTATAAGCTTTTTTTTTAAATTCAATTTTGGGTATTGGATTACACATACATAAAAAATAAAAAAAATTTACATCTTAAACCTCTTTAAAATTCATTAAGGTGCTTATTATTTTTTTTAATGATGATTTCTATGGCTGACAGATGATTTCTGATAAACATACCTACATAATTTTTCACCTGAGGAAAAGAGGTAAAATCATCCACCTATATACAGTGCAAGGTGTCTGACCATTAGATAATGATAATAAATAAATGAAAGAGGGAATGAGAAATACGGTATATACACACAAGTTAACTGTATACCTGTTTCATTAAATATAATTTCATTTAATTAAAGATAGCTTTTTTGAAGTGTGATAACTTACAATATTGAATTGGACATTTAAAGTTACCAGTAATAAAAGCAATTAAAAATTCCCTTTTTGATAAATAGTGTATAACAATAATATATATATAGTAATATAATTAATGTGTAAAATTATGTGCACTAATTCTTCAAACATTGTGATCTTCAAAATCTATTCAGTTATGTAATTTATGTTTTATACAAAGGAGAGCAATGCTTAAAAGTTTTTTTTTTTTTTTAAACCTAATGAAGATCTTATGTATGTAAAGTAAATAAAATACAAAACTCAAAGTTATTACCTTTTATTAGACTGTGCCCCCTTCCTTGAATCTAAACTGTGTCTCTTGAAAACTAATTCACATTATAAAAGCCTCCTTTCTTGCAACAGCTCTCATCCAATTGCAGATCCAAAATTGTAACAAAGAAAAAGTCTTTAAATATCACCACTGCTGACTGCACAGCCTCTTTTTCCTTCCTCTTGCTGTGCAGACACATGTGGCTCATTTTCTATGCTTCAACCATTGTCTAATTATGTGATCCATTTTATAAAAGTGTGAAGAGTGCTCATCCCACTTAAAATGATGTATGAACATGTTTCTGCTTTTCAAGATTGCCCGCAAATAAATTAAGATGTGGTTTTGCTTTCATCTGTGTTTGTTATATCATCTTGCATATGTGTGCTATCTTCAAATTCTCAATTTGTCTATATACAAGTTACTACACATATATAGTATATATGTTCTTATTGTAGGTTTGCTAAAGGGTATTTCACCACTAGCAGCAGTAACTGACAATGTTTAAAGTATTACTAACGCTGCTTTGAAATTCAGATACCATCAAATTAAACTATATTCATGAAATATTTTTAAAATATTGAAGCTTGTAGCTGCTTTAGTGTCCGAAATTACTGAAGTAGGGAGCCTTTTAAAACTAGATATTTCCAACTGATTTTCTACACGATTTATATAATTAGGATATTAGAGTGCTTTGTAATTTACTTAAATCCAATGACATTATTTTTTCATCAGTTAAAAACTGAAAATTGGAGCACATTTTTTCAGTTTTTCATATATGCATTTCATTTGTGAGATTAAAACATCTAACAGTTCATTATTAACTGCTGTGAAAGGAACAGTTTTCTGCAAAATTAATTTTCTTATAGATTGGTTCTTAAAAATTTAATTTATGAACTTTTCCTTTTTGTTTAAGTTATAAAGCACATTTATTTTTAATGCTAATTTTTAGCATTTCTCAAGAATACATCCAGAAAAGATTTTCTTGTCTACTGTTATTAAAAAAAGGTATAATTTTATTATTAAACTATATATACTGTTACTTGTTTTGATTGAGAGGCTTTATGTTTTCTGTTTCTTGCTAATTCCACATAGATAACATTCATAAAAAATTTAATATTGACTTATTTCAAGATGCTATTATTATCAAGCTAATGCAGTGATTTGTCCTTTTATGCCATATCTTTTAACAACTATTGTTCTCTTGCTATTTTTTGGTACAGTTCTTTTACATTATAAATATTAACATGCTTGAATGGAACATAGCAGTTGTCAGATATTATTTTGGTATTTACATTCTCCTTACAATATGAGCAGGTTTTAATGTCTTAAATTTCATGAATATGATAGGTTTTTCTGACTAATTTTTATTTCCAGCAATAAATAAGTTATCACATTTACTAGTCTCTTTTTCTTCACATTTCAGTCCTTCCAAAACTATATTTAAAAAAATTTTTAAGAGAGAAATATTTGTTTTTAAAAATACCTCTTTATAGCAGCTACATTAGAAATAATGGAATGAAGTAATAGTTTTTAAATCATGTTCTTTAACATCAACCTCAGTTTTATTAAAATGAGCTAAAATGATTTGTCTTCAGTAAAAAAGTCAAAATTTTAAACTTTTTTTTAAGCTGCTTTGATGCTAACAATGTATTATATTGTTTTATTATAAACAGTTGATCAACTTGAATAAAGATAACCATTTCCTACCTATTTATGTACCATTCTTAACCAAGAATGGTGAGACAGACTAGTAAACTGATTTCTTTAATGTGTTCAGTGACATGCATAAATAGCCTTAAATGAAATCTTGGTTCCAAAAATAACCTTAAACAAAATCAAGTCCATTTCTGGTGCAAGTTAAATATGGATACAATAATACAAAACCTGGAACTGTTTATCTTGTTCAATGACAAATTGTATGCAAAGAAATTAAGGAAAATAATAGTATGTTGCATTTCATTTTTAAACATCTGTGCTTAGTCTTCTGAATGCTACTTAGAAGGGCTTTATGTGTTAGGTCCGTTATGCTGCAACAGACTATATGCATTTTCATCTGCCATCCGTATTCAGTTAGAGGACTTTGGGAAGCTTATTATTTCGAAGTAAGAGCTCTAGTTCAAATTAAAGGAAAGTATAAGAGAATTATCAAAGTCAACAGCATAGTGTTTTCTAGGCTACTTTATGCAGCAATACATTACTGTAAACTAAAGTAAGTTAACTTCAATGCATAGGCTCCAACCATCAATTAAAATGTTAAGAAACAGTATATATGTATATAATATAGTGAAACCTTAGTTAAAAAATAAACTGATGTTATTAATTCTCCTTTTAGTTCAGCTGGATAGTTTGTAACAGATAAAGGTACAAGTATGCAAGAGACCAGAGTTTAGCCATTGGGGGTACAATTACGGTGACGCTTCACTAACTGTGCAATCCGACTCTAATTTTGATGGAAAACATCTTAATCCAAGGGTATCCCAAACCTTTTCCTGTACCATCAAACCACTCGAAAGGACTTTCTACTTGCCAGTATTTTAAGTGCTTCCCTGTTGTTGCAAAGACACTATACACTTACAAGTGTTGATATCTTTTCTGAGATTCGAATCCAGGCCCATTGGTACAATAACCAGCGTGGCTAACCTCTAGACCAATCAGGACATTGGATAGTTTGTAACATGAAATTTTGTTGCTACTTCTTAATGTGTTTGTTCTAAAGATGAAAGTTAATTGTATATCTTGTTTTAAAATAACTGTCTAATTTCTTTTAGCTAATTCAGCACCCTTTTTAATTTTTCACCTGAGGCAAGTGCCCTTATCCTGGCTATGCCATATGACATGAAACTAACATTCTAAAATGTAAATGATTAATTTTATGGCATCTGTTTATGAGGTGTTAAACTTTGAATGCTTGCACATTTGTATTTAAACAATAAGAATACTTTGTACATAAAATGACTGAATAAGTGGTCCGTTCTGTGACATCTCCAGCTGAGGTAAAAGTTACATATATAAAAATATCATCTTCATGTTTAATGCCAGACCACTAAACGTTTGTCAAGTACTTGAAATTCCCTTATTGGACAAATTAAATGGAGACAGAAAACGCGTATATGCAAAGTCATGTTCCGCAAGTTCGCATTTGACAAAAGTTTACTGTGTATACCAAATTAAATGATTTTTTTATTAACAATTTTTAGATTCAATCTTAAATCTTAAAATTTTTAGGTACAATCTTTTGGTTAATATTGATACAAAGTTTTCTCTTAATTTTATGGAGGAGCAAGCTGTTACACATGCATACATGTTCAGTGAAATGTTGCAGTATTACTGTAACTTGGTGATATGCATTTTATCTTGTACAAAATAAATTTAGTGTTGCCTATTCATTTCCTTAGAGCCTGTTTGGTATACCAGTTAATCACTTTTCCTGATAAAAGTGTAAGTTTTTGCTGAAATGTTTGTTACGTAAAATGGATAGAATTTTCCTCTTCTTTCTTAATAATCATGACGTAAAAATGCATTCTATGTTTGCATAATGTAATAGAATTAATTTGTTTTAAGGCTTATATCTATAATCTGTTTTTAGCTCTCTGTAGTATTGCTATTATAGCTATCCATAGTGTTCTTTCTCTGCTTTATTATTTTGTGAAATATTTTTCTTTAATTTTAATAGTTGGAAATTTTTATCAAGAGTTACTGGTTAAGTACCAAAGCAGAGTGTTATAAAGTAGTAACTACAATTTGAGCACACTATATCATGAATAATTTTGAGGGTCTTGCAGTCTGCAAAGAATAAAAAACTAATTATTTATAACTTCTATTTTTAAGGTTCCGTCAGGTCTTCCCCTTACTTGTGAAGCAGCTATCAAAAGGTACGGATCTGGAACATTTAAAGCTCCTGCAGCAACTGTGTTAGATACTGCTGGGAAAATTAGTAATCCTTTAACTTATGGTTGGTATATAATAATTTTTTTTGTTTTTGTTTTTGTTTTTTTTGTTTTTTGTATCCATTTATTAGCAATTAAGGAATGCATTTTATTGGCTTAGTTTAGACTTGACCCATTGTTATTTGCACTCCTGTTTGTCAGCTTTTGAATACTGTATAAAATGATTTAGGTAAAGTATTAATTAAAGGAAGCTTACATATATGTATTTTGTATGGATCTTTATTTTCATGTGTATTTCATAACTGCCTGCACCTTGATTATTTTGCATCTGTGATTTAATGAGAAACCCATTATTGTGGTTATTCACACTCTTTATTGTGATAAGAAAAATGAAGGGCAGGCAAACAGATAAGCTAACAAGGTTAACAGATCCCTTTCAAAATTAATACTAGATGTACAGTTTTGCACATTGATGTGAAGGATCTGAAACATTGTACACAGTCACATCTTTTGAGGGACCAGAAACTGAAATGGTATATGTTATCAGAATGTACTGAATAACTAATAGCTAGACCAATCTATTTGGGCCAAATCTTTGTGCTTGTTGATGATCTGTGAATCAAATTTTCTGCATGCAGCTTTGGAATACTTTCTAAACCCATTGAAAACGTGCACTCCAAATACTTCTTATTTTATGTAGCTACTTCAGTTTTTCCAAGAACTCATTTCCTTTTGATTTTTGCATGAATATCCAAGTAATAAGTGCTAATCCTATTATGTTTCTTCTGTAAGTGAGCAGGATATAAAGGAGGTAATAAAACTACTCTTAACTGGCATTTTTAATGAGCAATGAAATTAGCGTGCACAGACCCATCCCCAGATTAAAATGCCATAAAGAATTGAGAGGTGATATTATGTGCTGTTAAAATCTTCTTTAAGTGTGTCTAGAATTGAGGGAGGCTATATGATCAAAGAAGTAATCACCATCGACTCAGTAATTGCAACTTTTATGAAAATGCTTATAAGATTTTCTGTCATTATGCAGAATTGGGCCCACCAGCGGCCGAGCGGTAAAGTCGCTGAACACTGGTAGTTCGGTCCGAGGTTCGAATCCCGCAAACGGGCTGGCTGCATGGGCGTTTTCGTGGTTTTCCCCATGTGTAACGTGTATACGAGCCAGTTTCCCTTAGAAAGTCCTCCACGAAAGGCATCCCTCCCCTTAGGCAGATAGCCCTTGTGTGCTTTGCCATAATTAAATACACCAACACCATTATGCAGAATTTGAAAAGAAATAAGTGATAGAAGTTGGGGAAATTTGTGCTGTTCTGAACTGAAGTTAAATGGATTATGTTTATAGTTTTATGTGCAATATGTATTCCTGTGAGCATAAATTATACATAAGTTTAACATACGTGATATTATTACAAAAGCAGTATCATTGTTATTTAAACTGAATCTTCAAATGACTAAATATTGTATATAGACGTTTGCATAAAGTTCTAAAAAATTATGTAATTCTTTGGTTCGACTAAATTTTATGAATTTTATATCGTCCGTAATTCGAAAAGCTAAGAAAATTGGGGAAAAAGAATAAATACAAACACGCACACATACACAAAAAGAATCTTGAACACTAATGGAAAATAGTGAGTAAAAATATTTCATATATTAAGGGCACATTGCCTTTATGGTAGTTATGCTCTTATTTATTTTAACATTTTCTGTAAATGTAGTGAGTTCATCTTGTGTGATTTTTATCATGGTATCTTAAGGGATTTTTAAATTCTGTCTTGTAATAACAGTCTGTGCAGTTTAGTAAAGTTTCAGGAAAAAGGCAGTGATTATAAAGTAGAAGGAAATATAATCAGTACTGCTCTACACTGTCCTTTTTTGTTTTTATTGCGAAACAATTTCGATTTTTTTTCCTACTTTGAATAATTTTTATAATAATTATAAAAACTTAACCTACACATATGTCCCTGAAGAGGTTAATATATGCATTTTGGTTTTATTTAACTCTTAGTGTAATGCTAAAAGTTCATTGTGTCATTATGTGAACTATTGGACTGTTTTCTGAGTTATTTGGTAAAATTGGACTTGCATTGTGAGTTACTTGCATTACATTAAAAAAGTACATGTTAAGATAATTTAATTTTTAAATAAATATTTGGTTTTTGAATATGATACAATTTATATTATTTTTTCTCCCTCAAAATGTAGGTAAATTATTAAGTCGCTCCCAAAAAATTGGATATAGCCTTTTAAATAAAATTGGTCAAAAAGGTGAAACTGGTATAAAACCTGGTGATCGAGTAAGTTGGGCTTCTTTTCTGAGTTTTAAAAATACATTTATTTCCATTCATTAATTTTATTGTAAAAAAGTATTTGAAACTAAACTAATAAATTTTTCTGACTTTTTTTTTTTTTTTTTTTTTTTTTTTTTTTATGTAGGTGGCATTGGTATACCCTAACAGCGACCCACTGTCATTTATGTGTGCATTTTATGGGTGTGTCACTGCTGGAGTAGTACCTGTTCCTATTGAAGTACCTCTTACTAGGAGGGTGTGTTATCATTTTTATACTTTTCTGCATATAATGTATAAAAAATATTCATTTAAATTTTGATTTAAGCCTGAAATGAGCTCTATTTATCCAAACATGTATTTCTAGGAGTATTTTTACCTAATATGTATCCATGAATGTTTTTCCCATCAGTGGGATAGCTTACTTTGAAGTTTAATTTAATAATTATGCTAAATTGAATTTAATTAAGCAATTATGTAAACTGAATGCGAAAAGCTGATAGAAACGGCAAAACTTTATTTTGAGAAATGTATTGTATAATGCGAGCTGCATTCTTTTTTCATATTATTGTTCAAATTTAAGTATAGTGTTACTTATGTGTTTCATAAGTAATACTGTACCTAAATTTGGAAAATAATATCAAAAGATTATTGAAAATTAGTTTTTTTTTTTTTTTAAACTACTAAATAATCTACAATGAAAGTATTTTTAGTGTCTTTGCATTAACTTCCATGATGTGATGTGGTGAACGTAAGTCTATTTTCAGATGCTAATAAGATTATGATATTTATTATTATGTACCCTGTGCAAAAAAAAAAAAAAAAAAAAAAAAAAAAAAAGGGCTCGGACAGTTCTATATCTCCTGTTCTACTGGGCTGATTGATGAAAATATACTTGCAATTTTCATGTCTCAAAAGTGTGATGTAGGATATATATTAGATATATATATATGTAGCATCATTCTAATATGGGTATTTTGACACAAAATCGGACTTTTTCTGAAATGACATGCCAATTTTTTTCTATATTTCGATTGTATGACTCAAATTATTCCAAACTGCCAAGTTTTGTAAAAATTGCAGGAGTAGTTTTTAAAAAATTAGCTCTCAAATTTAAGCTCCTCAGTGTTAATTGCATTTGATATATATTTATTGAATACTTGATTCTTTCTTCCAGAATTCGAAATTTAGGTTCATTCCAAATTAAATTCATCCATTTTTTATGATTTATTTTAAAAATTTATATTTCTAAATAATTTTTTTGAAAAAAACTTTTAGAATTATAACCTATACAATTTGTACCATCATCTTAAAGTAGATGTATTTCTAAGTACACCTGCAAAAAATTGGAGTTTTTTATTCAAAATTTCCTAGTATATATGTGAATTTACATATTGGCATGTTTTGAAATTTGGCATATTTGTTATAAGCAAAAATAATGTTAAATGTGGTTTATGCACTTTGTTAAAATTATTTGAAATAATGAACAATGACTTTTTTCCGCTCATTTACAATTCTAAAAAGGAAAGGAAAATAGGTTGCTATAAAATAAGAAGTTCGCCAAGTGAATTATTATTCTTGGCACAGACCGAAAAAAAAATGCGCAAAGTTAAATTTTTTAATCTCTCCGTAAATTTCACACCAAAATTTGGAAAATTTCATATTTAGGCATAATTTGAGACATAGAATCGAAATATGAAAAAAAATTTTGGCACATCATTTCAGAAAACGTCCGATTTTATGCCGAAATACTTATATTAGAGCAGTGCTATATATAAATCTAATATATAATCAAAACAGAAATTGAAAAGCTAACAAGTAATGAGACGTAAGACCTATTTGGTCTTAAAATTTTTTGCGCAAAATGCTGCAAAAATATGAAATAATAGGTAAAAAAATTGCAGCAAGCTTGCTAAAAAGTTACCAGGAGCTGTAGCTCCACGAAATAGTTCAATGGAGTATTACTAAAATATTAACATAGAAGAAATTTTTTAAAAAAATATATTAACATGGAGAAAAACTGCTTACATGCGAAATAAAACTGTTTAAAATAAATGTTGGAAAACATGTGAATGCACGAAAAAACTAATCTGACCGTTGTGACATGTAAAAAGTTAATACATATAAAAATAGATCGACGGAACAAGTTAAAACAAAATAAAATTAAAAAATGAAAACATAAATTGCAAAAATTATAATTAAAACATAAATTGCAAAATTACAAAAAATACTATAATTACAAAGCGGAAAATGGTCAATTAGTCCAATCGGAACATCAACCAGGCTTTTCAAGGGAAAAATGGTTGAATGTTGAACTAGGCCAAATATCATTACGCGTTTCGCCGAAACAGACCATTGAAGCTCTTGTTTGATGAAAAAAATTTGTTAAATAAAAATGAATTGTCCGAAAAAATCTTTTTGGAGCTTCAATTCTCTGTTCCTCAATTTGAATTTCGTCAAACGGCCCAGTAAAATGGAAGATATAAAACTGTCCCATTTTGTTTTCTTTTTTGCACAGTGTACATTCCAGGATTTATAATTTTCTTGTAATTTCTAAGAAAACTATCCTAATAGTATGTTTCTGTGTGTAAAATCACTTTTGTGTGAATATTGCATTTTTTCTCTACGTTCTCAATCTGCATTTCAGCCATGTTTTTCATGCGAAGCATTTGCACTACTGTATAAATATATCCACTTTTAAGATAGCAATTAACCTATAAAATTTTTACCATCATCTTAAAGTAGATGTATTTCTAAGTACACCTGCAAAAAATTGGTGTTTTTTATTCAAAATTTCCTAGTATATACGTGAATTTACATATTGGCACATTTTGAAATTTGGCATATTTTGTTATAAGCAATAATAATGCCAAATGTGGTTTATGCACTTTGTTAAAATTATTTGAAATAATGAACAATGACTTTTTTCCGCTCATTTACAATTCTAAAAAGGAAAGGAAAATAGGTTGCTATAAAATAAGAAGTTCGCCAAGTGAATTATTCTTGGCACAGACCGAAAAAAAAATGCACGAAGTTAAATTTTTTAATCTCTCCTTAAATTTCACGTGAAAATTTAGAAAATTTCATATTTAGGCATAATTTGAGACATAGAATCGAAATATGAAAAAAAATTTTGGCATGTAATTTCAGAAAAAGTCCGATTTTATGCCAAAATATTATATTAGAGCAGTGCTATATATAAATCTAATATATATCGTAAGTGGCGCTTTCAAGACATGAAAAACACAATTTGAATTTTGTCAATCGGCCCAGTAAACCGGAAGATGTAAAACTGTCCCATTTTTTTTTTTTTTTTTTCATTTTTTTCTTATTTGCACAGTGTACATTCCAGGATTTATAATTTTCTTGTAATTTCGAAGAAAACTATCCTAATATTATGTTTCTATTTGTGAAATAACTTTTCTGTGAATTTTGCATTTTTTCTCTAGGTTCTAAATCTGCATTTTAGGTATGTTTTTCATGCGAAGCATTTGCACTACTGTATAAATATATCCACTTTAAGATAGCAAAAACAACTTTTTCTTCTTAAATCCGAATTCTTTCTTTGTGCGTTGACAAGTTTGGCAATTGAATCAATGTTAAGAGCTTGTTTAGATTAGATTTGGTGGTTTTACAAATATTCTTGATTATTTTTAAGAAATATAATTTTATCCTGATAAACTATAAAACAATTAAATCTACTTAAAATGCATAATTTTGGAAAAAATTAACCAAAAATAAAACTTTTCCAGTTCTCATGTTTTATAGTGTCCTTAACTTTCATGTTTAGCAGTTTTTGATTTACTATATGTAAAAGCAGTTATATGTAAACAAAATAATAAATATAGTTCTGAATTCCGTCTTAGCAAGGGAAGGAGAAGCAGTTGTTATAAATATGTTAAATTTTAGTTCATTGGATTTTCTTTCTCTAATAGTTGAGTTTATCTCATTTCATTACACATCAATTTCTGTCAGTTATTCTGTGAAATTCGCTAAGCCTTCTTTTTATTTTATCTTTTGTTCTTTACTATGATTAAGCTAGCAACTGTGATATTATGATATTATAGTGTATAAACTGCCTTTTTAATTTTTTTAAATTAACTTTCTTGTATATTTTTATAATAGGATGCTGGGTCTCAGCAGATAGGTTTCTTACTAGGAAGTTGTGGTGTAAGTTATGCTCTAACTTCTGAAGCATGCTACAAGGGGCTTCCTAAAACTGCCACTGGTGATATTCATACTTTTAGAGGTAAATATTAAAAATGTTGTACAATTAACATTTCATGCTATATTGTTAAGTGCATATCACTATTTGTACATCTTGTATTTTATCATATATTTACATTTCAGGGTGTAATATATTGTATAACTCTTGTCAGTATATGCATATCGTTATTAGAATTCCTTGTCATCAACCCTTCTTGTTTTACGGTGGTTTCGCTGGAGGAGATACTCTGGTTATCTCAAGTTCAGCTGTTCGTGCCACCAGCTGATTTTGCAATAGCTGTGCATGCCATCAGCTGACAACACATTGTCTTTACCAATCTGTCTATAAAGTTTGGGATTTGTGTAGTGGCTTCTGTATTTTTATAAGCTGTGTTAAAAAAGTTGATTGTTTTAGCAACATGGAGTTATAACTTGTGAGGATCAGCACCAAGCCATACCTAAAATACATACTAATTAATGAAAGAAATCTGAAAAGGATTTTTGCTTTTTTGAAGTGAAATGCAGAAGTATGGTTCAGCATTTGCATTGTCTAGTGATTGCAGAAAAGTCGGAGCAATTATGATAGTGTATCAGATAGAGTATAAGGTAGATTTTGTTAAGTATTTTCATTGCCTGTGAAAAACTATCTAGGAAGACATAGCCAGTCATAGCAGCCAAGCATGTTATTTTCTGTCAAGCACTTACATCTGTCAGAGTGTAATCAATTTCAACTTTTAGCATTAGGCAAGGCAGACATAAAAGTTGTAGATCAGATGGATACAAATAACAGTAAAGTAATAATAATCTCTATTTCTTCTTCTCTACACAATAGGCACTGTATCTTTCATTACCTTAGCTCCAACAGCTCGGTGCACTCTCGTCAGTGCCACCACATTTATAATTTGTGCTCATAGTCATTGTAGAAGCTGAATATATCTTACATATTTTTTCTATAGTTATCATGCTATTTCTTTTACTTCTTCCTTGTTCTTCTTTTAGGTTTTGAATAATCTAATAGAAATTTTATACTTTGATGGTTTTTATTTATTTTAAATCTCAGAACAAAGCTCCTTTTATATAAATCAGTGATAATTACGTTTTCACTTTATGCCATTTATCTGAGCAGTTTCCAAATCCATTGTATTTAAGATTTTCTCTTGCATGCAAGGTGAACAGTGTTGACAACTGGGGGGGGGGCATTTCATTAGTTTATGGAAGATGGAGACCTGTAAGCTACCTTGAAATTCAGAATCAATTTCAGCACAAATTCCTTAAGTCAGGTATCAGGTTATTAGGCAACGAAGTTTTAAGAACATGGTGTGTGTTGAATGAGCAACATTTAGGGCATGGTCAGCATCTGTGCAGACTGTTAAATGAGACAAGAAGCATTTAAGTGAAACTATGAATCATCTGTAAGCAGGTTGAATAGGGAGCTTAATGTTTGAATGTTAACTTTTTGGAGAACTTGGTGCTGTTTCCTTTAGAAAGGTGTCTACCACATTCAGGTATTTTATCCTCTATTCTGAGGAATTTAGCTTTGTTTAAAAATAACCTTATAGCTGTTGAAAATGAACACCTCATGGATTATATATGTATTGCCAGTGGGATAGTTTTCCATTTGTGGAATGATTTATTACTGCAGGAGCAGAATTTAGGCATAAATGTATGCTTAAGAGTTTTTTAGTTTGAGGTTGTTTCTGGCTTTCGTAAATAAAACTGCAATTTTTGGGAGGTAAATATTTGAATTTCAAAAATTGTTGCTGAGAGAATACCTATCTTCTGTATAGTCAAATACATGTAGGATTAGGAGTATGCACTTTTGGAATGAAATATTAGGTTTGTAAGTTGCTGACTTCTTTTTAGAATTCTAGAATTTTTTAGATGTAGCTAAATATCTACCAGAGCTAGCTGTAGCTAAATATCTTACTGAGTTACAGTTAAAATTATATTGCTCATAATTTTTATTCAAAAATATTTTCTAATCTGCTAAAAGACTGCTGTCTATATCAAATTGGAGTAAAAACATGGCAATGCAACATTTAAAATTATGAAAGAAAAAAAGCAATCTTAATTTGACATAGATTTGGAATAAAATTCTATCAATTTCAAGCATGATCTGACATGGGTTCCTTTTCTTGAAGATGGGGGAAAAACTTGTTCTGAAGCAGTTAAACGTAAAACACTTATTAACTTTGAGTGTTGTGAATCATAAGAATTACTTTGCAATTTTAGAATGGATTTACATCAAATTACTTAGTTTTCTAATATAATATTTTTCCTCCTTAGGATGGCCAAAATTAAATTGGGTTGTCACTGAGCACTTGAGTAAGCCTCCTAAAGACTGGATGCCTCCCTCAAGATTAACAGAAGAAACACCTGCATATATTGAGGTAATGACAGCATTCAAAATTCAGCCTCCATTTTTATAGCATCTGTCTTATTTTTGAGGCAAAAAAAGTATAAGGGCTGATTTAAAGTACTTTTAATTGAGTTTAATGAGGACTTTTTTAGTTTATATTAGGCATGGCTAAACGGCGACCCTCTGACACTTTAACTGTGGCTCGTGACTTTGTGGCTCTTTGGCCCTTTAATTGTGACTAGAAATTGTGCAGTGACACATTTCTTTATTTATTAGTAATTTGCTTTCTTGAATTTATTATGTACGTAACAATTTAATCGGTTTCAAGCTATCTGCCTTATCGTTAGAATAACAAACAAACCTACATATAGTTCTATTTCTGCCAATTACTATCACAATCATGTTACTTTTAGAACAGGTGATGGCCATCGGGATAGCACAAAATATATAGTATGAGGGCAATTTATAAGTAATGCTCTCTAATTTTTTCCCCTTTTATGTTAATTTTGTTTAAAATAACCAGTGCTTACATTCTTTCTGTGTAAATTCCTTGCTTCACAACGAAATTCATGATCCATTGTCTTGAAAGATATGCTATTCTTCATGGAACAGGAGTTTTACTCGGTCTTTTAATAGCTAAGGTAAGTACTAAAAAAACATATTTCATGGAGGAAAATCACTGTCCATGGGGGAGCTCTTGCGTCCTTTGAAGTTAATTCCCCAGCCTTTAAGCATGTTAGGTAATTTTTGTCCAGTTTTCTTCACATATTTTGCAACTGCTCGTACTAAAATGCTGCAGTTACACTTTTTGCACCTGAAACACATTTTCCCCATTTCCCATTTTTTTGCACTAATGCTTTGATAGTCCTAGGTAAAGATCATCATTTATGTAACTAAAGGTTGTGGATATTGAAAGTTTTGGGGTCACGAAGAGAATGTACATTGGATTGACAACAATTTCAATTCTGGCCAAAATTTTTAGTTCAGGTTTTTCTCAGTTACTGGTATTCCTGAGAGAAAGCTTTCATCTTTATCATTAGTCCTTCGTTTCAATAATGTTGCATCAAGCAGTGAAGGGTACAAATTTCTTTTTTCTAATATACAACTTCTGTCAAAATGATAAATTCTGTCAAATTCTGTCAAAAAAAATGATAAGGAAATTTCTTTAGCTCGATTTTTCGTTGCATGTTACTTGACGAACTTTTTCTTTTTAGCCCTTCACAAATATCACATTAGGTTAGAGCTGATATTATGTTCTTTGCCACTAGGTGCTCCTAAAACTTTTCTCCTCTTTATTGTGTTATCCAGTACACTGAACCGGTTGTCCCAGTTCTGTTGCCTGCACTACAAATCTTTAACTAGTTGATATTTTTTTATCTTAATTTTCAATCATCTTGTATGTCTGAGATATTCTTCATGAAAGCTTAGTAGCCCAAAGGAATGTTGTACTACTATTCATTCCATGATCACTTAAAATTTCACATAATGTACTGTGAAGCTGTGCTGGATTTTAGCCCCATAAATGTTTCATTTTGAACTATGATCTTTCACTTTATAAAGTAACTCCATACGCATACTGACTCCACTTCAAAGAATTATCACTTTAAACTGCCGTTTCTAAAGAACTCAACTAGACTTTAGCCTCAAATGACACAAATATATGCAACTTCTCCTGCATTTAAGAGATTAATATAGAACTTCCTGTAAGGAATATAGAGTGCATTTATTTAAAGTAAATTGATGTCATTAAATCTTTCATTAGGTCTCTTTATTCTTCAACTAATATGTAGCACTCGCGAACTACTAGATACTTAATTGCACTCAATATCCTTCTCATTGTTTAGGTCTGCATTTATTATTGCGATACAAACAAGATTTAGCATTGATAAACTTTAACATAGGCAGATACTTGAATCTTGGCACTCACTTATGAGACATAATTTTGCAATCATCAGGTAATTTAAGATGAACATTGGGGGTGGGAACCACAAAGAAACATATTTACGGCCCTTATAATAAATTTATTTTACAGATGAAAGTATGAAACAAGGTTATAAACTCTCTTTCATTGGAAAACTCATTAAAGGAATTCAAAATCCATTTTTCTCATGCCATTAAAAATCGCAGCATCAGTGAAAAAGTTCATCGTGTGATTCATTGTCATTACTAATACAAAAACTCTATTAGTAATCATTGTTTAGGATATTTTCGAATCAAATTTGCTTGAAAACCACCTCACCGTTTCAGTATCGAAAAGCAGATGAAACGGTTGAAAGGCAGGTGTAGCTTGTGCGAGAAAAAAGCATAAACGTCCTGACATTTGTCCGGGCCAGCAAATAAACAGAAGTCAATAATGGAATGGTGGAAAACATTTGTGTCATTTACAGCCTTCAGCCTCAGTAAGTCCATGAATCCTACCAACAGACAAGTAAGAAAATTTATGGTGTGTTTTGCACAGGCTTCTACAGTTTGTCTTACAAAGTACAGAGTTCTAAAAATTGCCGAAAAGTTAAATGGATGAAATTTAGCATAGTTGATTCATAGAGAGACTAGCATTCTGTGATGAAGCTGCGTTTCATTTACACAGCAAAGGAAACAGGCATAATTTCATATTTGATTCACAGAAAATCTGCTAGAGAAGATATATGTAATTTTTTTAGGATAAACGTTTTCTGCGCCTTAACAAAACATGACTATTTTTTCTTCATTCGACCTTGTAATTTATTTCTTGGGAATATTTAATAGAGAAGATATTCTCATGCCCACTTGTCAATAGGTAAAAATTTACACTATAAAAAAGGTTAAAAACATTTCTCCTAGAAATTTACTCATGGTTTCTTTTGATGTAAAATCATTATTCATCAATGTTCCAGTGGAGGGTGTATTAAGATGTCTAGAAACCAGACTTCGCGAATTTCATTTCTCTTGCATCGAAATTGATGAGCTAATTTCTCTCACTCTGTTTGAAACAAACACATTTTGTTTTCCAAAATAAATATTACAAGCAAACTGGGGGATTAGCCATGGGAAGCCCTCTGAGTCCCATCCTGGCTGACATCTACATGCATTATTATGAATCAAAATTGCTTAAATTTTTAAACTTCCGGTATGGTTCCGCTACATAGACGATACGTTTACCCTGTTTGAAGGTAATAAAGATGATTTAAATAAAGTTCTTTCAACAGTGAATTCTATTGATCCTGCTATTCAGTTCATTTTTGAACTTGAGACTTGCAATTCTCTTCTGTTTCTTGACATTCTGGTCACGCGTAACATCCAACTTCAGCACTACGGTTTACCGCAAACCTTTATCGGTTTGCCTTCCACCACACTTTAAATCATGTCATCAGACTAAACAAAAGTTAGCCTCATTTTATTCCTATGTTTTCCGTGCTCCTCAAGTTTGCTCCTCCAAACTATCCCTTGGTGAAGAACTAAATTATTTAAAAGCAATAGCTATTGACAGGGGCTTTTCACCCAACATTGTTAATCAAGCAGTTAAACAATTCTCAACACTCTAAAAGGCACACTCTTGTTTTAAGAGATTATAAAAATTCTGTTGTTATTCCCTTCTTTCCATCAACTAGCTATGAAGTTGCCATATTTTGCAGAAATTTAACTTTTGGGTGGTTTATTCTTAAATCAATAAAATTCCAGTTCCATAATCAAGGACCCCATTCCAGATATGAATTCTTTGGGTATTTATAGGATTCCTTGCCAGTGTGGTTTAATTTACATTGGCCAAACTAAGAGAGCCTTAAAATTTCACGTCAAAGAACATGAGGCATATGTTAGAAAAAAGGAAACACAGAAGTCTTCTGTTGCCCGTGGCTTAATTTACATTGGCCAAACTAAGAGAGCCTTAAAATTTCACGTCAAGGAACATGAGGCATATGTTAGAAGAAAGGAAACACAGAAGTCTTCTGTTGCCCAACATTGTTGGTCCGAAAATCACACTTTCAATTTTTCTGCTGCCAAAATTATTCAAAAAACATCTTCCATTGGCGAACTAGATTTTCTAAAAGCATTTCACATTCAAAAAAATCTTTCTGTTCTAGTTAATGATCCTAATTCCAATCCATCTTTGCTTCTGCCTTTAAAGTAATTATGTTTTAGTCCTGGTTTTCATGAACAGATGGTGCCACTAGCTTATTTTCTGTCGAGGCTTTCTTTTCTTACCTGATCATTATATCCTAACTCATTCATTTGCGTTTTTGCAGCTGAGGATGGTGGTTCGGTAAAACCATCGAATCTAGTCCTGTGAAAATTTGAAAATATAACGCTGATTTTTGTTGTTTGACTTCTGAATTAGTATTTGTTTGGCATGTTATTGTGTCTTAATTTCTGTAGAGTTCGACTGGTATACAGATGGAATATATGGCCGAGATTTATATCTTGACATGAGGTGCTAGATTTATTAGAAGTAGTTTATCTAGGTGCAGAATTGTGGACAAAATTCAATAGATAATTTCAAACGTTTTCAGTGATGCACAGTGTGCTGGTTATGCAAACGCTCTGGCAAATTTTGCTAGAAATTATTCTGAAATACTGCAGTGTTCAGAGCCAAAAAATGATGATTTCGGTGCCCCTGAAATTGTAATTCCTTTTTTTTTTTTTTTTTTTCATGAATTCTTATATATTGGGCAGCAATATTAAGTCATTCCAAAGTTTTGATGTTTAATGATTTCTTAGCTTATAGTTCGTACATTTGAATGATGAAAATAGTTCAAAAATACTGTAGAAGTTAAATCTTTTTAAAAATTAGAGAGTGAGTTATGAACCAAAGTATTTTTTTAACCTTATAAAAAGTCCTAGTATTAACCTTTCCAAAATATTAACCTTTATAAAAAATTTAACTTCTAATCCAGTTCGCATCTAATGAATTAATTCAATTATTTTAAAGTTAGATTTTATGAGGATGTTGGCCCTCAGTTGATTGTGTGAAAAAATAAAGTTATTTATTTTCATGCAAAAGCCTAAAAAGTTAAAACCTTCTTGTAAAATAAGTTTTATTTTTCAAGTAACAGTTTCTCTGCTGTGTGCACCCTCCTGCATCGCTTATTTACTTTTTCTAAAACATTAAGTAAAACTCCAAATTTAAGAAAAGAATTTTCAATACTTTTTTAATGAGTTATTCTTCACTCAAATGAAAAACTTTCTACAATATATGTTTCTAAAGACAAATGCATATTCCTTTCACTTAAGTTCACTTCTAATGAAACCAAGCAAAAGTTATGAAGGAAGAAGAATAAAGGAAACAAAAAAAAAAAAAAAATTGCTTGTTTTTTTACCTGAAAGAATAATGTTGAAATGCATCATATAGTAAGCAGTTTCAAATTTATAATTTGTTGGAACATACATTTCTGAAAGCAGAGCAGGCGAAATAAAGCTTTGGATTTTTATGAAACCATGTTAATTATATGAAATGTGAAATACTCGTTAATTTACTTCAGATGTTTCATTATTTTTTTAAACAATATAAATATGGAGTTTCGATTCTTGTACAATCCATCTGTGGCTCTCAAGCATTCACGAAATCTACCATGTGGCTCATATCGAAGTGAAGTTTGGCTTCCCCTGGTTTATAATAAAGAGACTTTTGGTTATTTTCTTGCTAATTATCCTTTTTTATTAGCAACAGTATAGACGTTTTTCCCTGAAATATATAACAATGTAGATAGATATGCTTTTTTTAAACGAGCTTATATGCATAAACAAAAAAAACGATTATACTTAATTGCACTAAAATTATTCAGCATTCTTGAAAACATTAATGGGAAATTAAAAAATGCAAAGGTATTCAGAGCAAACAGACAGCATGTGCATGTTTATACTGAGTTCATTTAATGTGGAACTGTTGCAGCAGGTAAAGCTCACATAAGGTAAGATTCAGTGGCTCAGATAAGTGTATAGATAGGCATTGAAATGTTATTTAAAGCTGAATAACATTAATGGTATGAATTAAAGTTTATAATAGTAGATGAAATTCAATATTATCAAGCGTTAAGCAGGGGCATGTTTGTCAGTGTTAAAACAGTTTTGGTATTTCATCACTAGTTGTGTTAATATATAAAATAAAGCAAGATGTCAGATGTAAATGATAAGCATTGATTTGTCAAGAAAAAGATAAAGTTCTAATGAATTATAACTTTGTTCAGGTTTGGTTATTATCGCAAATCACATGACTGATAGCTGCTTAAGGAGTGGATTGCTTTTATGGGAAAATTTTTAGAAGAAACTAGTTCCTGGTTCATGTTCACAATACACATGGGCAAAACTATAAAAAACAATCATGCAGTCAGCTGTTCACTTGGCTTTGAGTTCTACCACCAGTATTTAGTGCCTTAGTTGTTCACCACCTGGTGTGGCATAATTTTCTCAGAATTAAAGTAATAGCTTATACAAATGTATTTCAGAATGGGGCGAAGGAACTGCAAAATTCAGTTATTTGCATTATTTTTCTAATAATTAAAATACATGATGTAGTTATTAACACATGTGAAGCCAGGTATGAGAGCAGTCGGAGTCTCTCAAGTGAACTATGAACATACTCGTATGCTGATGGCTGATTTTCTATGCCAAACAATACTTAAATGTAGTAAAAGAATAGTAAATCAGACCTCTGGCATGTGAATAAAATAAAGACTGCATTTGGAGGCTTACTATTTTTTTAAGGAAATGAATTTCGGTGGAAGTATGATATTACAGAAGCTATTGTTGCACAAACTTTATACTTATTATTGCTGAAAAAGGCCTAATATTTATGTATTTGTGTGTAATATATGTAGTGCAACAGGTAAAAATTTTTTTAGTAAAACGAGTATTGACTGTTTTATAAACCAGTAAATGGGAAAGGGTATTAATCAAGTTATGAAATGATAAGCTTTCAAAGAATGTTTTTCTATTTGGCATGCACAACAATGTTTCATATCCGTACTTGGTATGGTTTTGTTCAGCAGTTCTTCATTTATGTATATGGTTAACTCTAAATAATGTGGATTCCAAGTTTGGCTCATGATTTTTTAGGTTTGCCAGTTCCAGTAAAAACAGATAAATATCTCTAAAAACATTTACATAATTTATTGTATCTTAGAGATTTAAAATGCTGTGTTTAATCTTTTGCATTAAATAGAATGTAGTAAAATTGTTACGTAAAATATTTTTATTTAATAGCAATGAGTGTCACTTTTGTGTAGTGTAAGTTTGTGCTATTTTCATTTTTAATAATATAAATTAAAATATATATGCGTTTTAACATTTTAGTATACTGTTGACAAAGAAGGAGCAATGAAAGGTGTTGCTATTACACGAATAGCTATTGCTAATCACTGCAGATTGCTAACTGCAGCTTGTAATTATACTGAAGGTAAGAGCATTTGCTATAAACTTTTCTTTGGTACTCGATTCTTCAGTATGTTGTAAGATATGAAGATAATAAATATTTTTCCTTATTTATAATTCTAGGGGAAGTGATGGTTTGTGTGTTAGATTTCAAGAGAGATGTTGGACTGTGGCACAGCATCCTTACTGTAAGCTTTTAAAGAAATATTTTTATAAGCCTCCCTGTCTCTTCCATATAGTAAAGTAATATTTCTTATTTGAAAACCTGCTTCTTCATTGTATTAGTTTAGTTGCAAAAGCAAATTTCCTCTTCAAAGTATACTGCTAATGTTTGAATTGTGAAATTAGAATATGTAACATATTCTTCATGCATTTATGAATAAAAAATATAGATGCTTTTGAAAAATATTTGATTTACAGTTTATTTTGTGTATTTCTGCCAGCTGTTCACATTTCCAATAGCTAGTATCTTTCTTGCATAGTTTACAAAAATTACTGTTGTTGAGTATTTTATTTTTAGAACTTTTCATAGCTAAGTGGAATTATATATTTTCCTGTTTCAATGCCTCTAGTTCTGATGTTGTTCTCAGGCAATTTTTACCTTTATTTTTTAAATAAGAAAAATAATTTTGATTTTTGTTAAATTTAGATGTTTACAGTTTTGCAGCAGAAATAGAGAAGTGAGTTGTAATGGCGTATAGCTTTTAATTTCATATTTAACATTACTGTTCTGTTGATTGCACAGCAGGCTACAATGTCGAGTTCTTAAAACTTGAGATGGTTATTTCTTTCTTTGCCATCAACAAAAGGCAAATATTAAGTATGTAAATTAGATAGTAATACAGTAAAAATAGATTTTTATAACTCCCCTCCCCGAAAAAGTATTTACTTTACGTAGTGTATGATACACACGCCTACTAAAGTCCCTGAGTTACAGGTGAGTTAATTATGACATTATATACTGTCAAAACGAAGTCCCAAGGACTTAACGATAAAATAATTGCATCTATAAATTGCTAACTTCATGATGTAGGTAATGGACTCAAAAATCAAATGCTTACTCCAGCTCTAAAATAAAATCCTGATTCTCCGTCAGACTGTATCCACACTAGCATCATACTTTAATGCTGGCATATCTTCTTATTTGAAAAATACGCCATCTGCTAAGCAAGACATTGTTGTAGTTTTGACTTTTACTTCATACTCCTGCAAATGCATATATACTGTAATTTCTTGTTATCTTCCTTCGAGACATTTTGCATGAGTTATTCTGTTTGAATCAATAAAATAGCACAGTATTTCTGCACTTTGTTCTCAAGAGTGCAGGGTTTGCTTATTTTGCTGTATTTGCAGTGTTGTTATCATATAATGTTAGTCATTATAGTGCTATCATCATCATTGCTGTATATATTTGGGTAATCTGGGATCTAATTTGCATACAAGTCATTTTAAAGCTATACTCTGGGATGTATTTTGTTTGAAAGTTGGGACTTTCTTTTTTTACAATTGGTCCAAGTTATTTCTATTCATTAAAGCTTACAAATTTTGATAATTCTTAGGTGATGGTAATTTCAGAATTCTTTTTTTTGAGGGAAAGGGGATGAGATTATTATATCTTTGTAGGAAATTTATTCTCAAATAAACTTACGTGTAATTCAGTTATCTGTGTACAGATTGCTTTAATTGGTATGCAGAGTTGCCAACTCTCCCGATTTAGGCGGGAGACTCCCGATTTTCGACCGATCTCCCGCCAACCCGATTTACAATATATTTCTCCCGACTTTTTCTTATTCTTAAAATTTTTCACGATTTTTATGGAACTTGGCTTAATACTTTGTTATATGATTAAAAAAAAAAAAAAAAAAAAAAATGTGATTTTGGACGTCTGAAAGCAATTGAATTTTCTCTAGATTATATCTAAAACAAAACCTTGTGAATCAGATAACATTTGCTTTGTGAGTAAGAGCATTATACGTATCCCAGAAACGTTGTTCTCCAGTTCTCCAATGGGCATCGAACTCCACTGCATGTCAGCTGGCGTATATTAGCCAATGAGGACAAGGCAAGCTGTTATTTGGATGTTCTTTAGTTTTTGTTCAATTTGTCCTGAGTTGTGTGAGTGCACGTGCCTTCGGGAAATAGTTTTAGAAATTATCATCTTTTGTTATGTCTGCGAGAAAGGTGAAATACTCGTGTACGTTTCAAAAATCTTACACAGTTGACTTTCCTTAAGGAAATGTAATAAATTTGCGATGTGTACTGCCTGTCGTTGCGATTTTTCAGTTTCACAATGTGGAAGGGTGGATGTTCTCAAACATGTGCGAACACAAAAACACAAGGATAACATGAGTTGTTTTTTTAAAAAAATTAAAAATTAAATTTTTCTTCGGAAACAAAGGACCAAAAAGTTATTAATGCAGAATGTCTGTTCTCTGCCTTTTTACTGGAGCACAACCTGCCACTGAATGCATCGGATCACGCTGCAGCTTTATTTAGAAAAATGTTTCACGATAGTGAAATTGCTAAAAAATACTGAAGTGCAAGAACCAAAACAGGTGCAGTTGTTAAAGAAATGGGTTTGAAAATAAATCTTCAGTTATTGATTGCACTAAAACAGCTCCGTTCTGTCTCTCTACGGATGGAAGCAATAATATCGATTCAAAACTATATCCAATTGTTGTTTCTTTTTTTAATCCAGAGTCTTCAGAAATTGAGTGCAGTTTACTTTCTGTCCCCACTTTAGGCACAGCTAAGTATTAAAACTTTAAAAGAAAATGCAGTCCCTCTGGATAATTGCTTAGCACTTGGTGCCGATAACGCACTAGTATTGGTAGGCTTGAAGACTAGTATTGCAGGCATCTTAAGAAAGGAAAATTCAGATTTGCAGATTATGAGGTGCACCTGTCACCTCTTAAATTTAGCAGCTGAAAAGGGGGCAGCTTCTTTACCTGTAATGTGGATGAACACATGTTGATATTTTATTATCTTGAAAGGAGTTCTAAAAGGAAGGAAAAATTGGAACAGTTCCAACAGGCATAACAGCAGTTTACAATTAGAAAAACTTGCATGAAGTTATAAAATCAGCTAGGATTGACACCCAGTGGAGTTTAATTGGAAAACTGAAAGGTGCTGATTGAATTTTAAAATATAGTGAACTGTCTAGAATTGTGTTGGTCATCTTGACAATTCCCCATAGTAATGCGGAGTGCGAGAGGATTTTCAGTGTTGTTGCGTAAACAAGGACAAAATTTAGATCTAATATTAGTGATGATACATGAAAAAAAAAAAACTTTATTAGTAAAAGCAAGCCTACGTGGCAATTGCTATGAATGAAATTATGAAGTTTCTTTCTTAATGAAAGCAAAATCTGCCACTGTTCATAACATTTGTACGAAAACTGATTAAAGTGTTTTTCTTCCCTTAAACGATGCAAGTAATAAAAATGTGTTTTATGTGTAAGGTATTTTTGTGTTGCTTGCATCTAAGAATTAGTTAGTATTTAAAGTTAATTCATTATTAAAAGCTATATTTTTATCATTTAAAAAGTCTTTTTAACATTGTGAAAAATCTCCTGATTATTGAGTGTCATAGGTTGGCAAGTATGGGTATGTCTTGATTTAAATATATAAGCGTGAAAATAATTAACTAAATTTTGAGTACTTTCTAATTATCTGCATCCCCCATGAAAAGTTGCTAACTTACTGGTGACTTCGTGAGTTGGCAGAAAATGTTTACTTGTCCATCTTTACATATTGTAGGTATTATTCTGTTCATAAATAATAATAATAAAAATAATACAAATTTTATAAGAAATTCATAGTTCTTTAGCAGTTCTACTAAATGTTGACACCATGTGTGATAATCAGAAAGTACCAAATTTATACATAATGCATGTTTTAAAAAAGTTTTTCTTAAATATTATCATTGTTTTCAGCAAAGGTATTTTACTTTTGAACAGTAGTAAATGTTAATTTTAAAAAATCTGATGCGGACACCACATGACTTCTTTGTATGGCCTGTTAAATTATGCACCTTTTTTCTGCATTTCATTTAAACTTATTTCCTCTAATTTCATTAGGGATATATTCCTCATTCAATTAATTTAGTTCTCACTTCACAGAAAAGCAAAAATGTGTAAAAATTCTATACAGCTTCATTAAAAATTATAAAATTCAGAAAAACATAAAATGCCAAATACAGTTAAAACGGTTAAAATTTTTTTTTTGTTTTTCATTTAAAATTAAGAGTGTATATGTGAAAAAAAAGGATTTCGGCCGGCGGGCAAGAAGGCAGATTTATTGGTGCACAAAACTGAAAATTTATTTTTGGTCCCACTCGGCAAAAAAGACATTGAAGATGCAGAAACTGACTGAATTCACTATTCTACTGAGTTTCAAGTGTACACAAATGTCGATTTGTTAGGCTTAATTCACCACTTAAACTTTTAAATTGTTGATAATTTTACAGCTATTGCATGCAGATTAACTAAAGGCATAAAACCACATAATTTAATCACTTTTGAATCCAAAAATGCTCAGTTTACCAGCATGCAAGAATAAAAAACTAAGCTCACCAATCACCAAGGTCAGGTAATAGAGTGGGAATATATATATATATAGTTGGTGCATCTGATTGCAGCAAAAAAAAAAAAAAAAAAAAAAAAAAAAAAAAGGAGGTGCACAACTACATGTTATATCAATAACATATACAAAATTTCAACGTTCTACAGCTACTTGTTCTAGAGCTATGCGAGATATGATACCCGAAAGTTTTCGTGATTACAGTACTTCCTTTACTTCATACAAGAAGTAAAAATTTTTTAATAATGCAGTAGAAATTCTGGGTCATTTGCTATAATGCCTTTATTAATTAAAATTAAGTTAAACTATATTTTTAATCTGATATAAAAATAATGTTGTTCCAAATGGTATTTATTATCTGAGTGTTAAGGTGAATGAAAGTTTTATGCAAGCTGTAAAAAATTTAAATGTGTCTGAAATCAGGAGCCATTTTTATATTGGTGGTGAATACTATGTGAGAGACTTTTCTTAAATTAGCATTATAATGAATTAGTTTCAATAAAAGTTAATTTGCTTCTGTTTCATGTAAGAATTAGAAAATAAGTGAGTGTTCTGCCAGTTGGTTTACAATCATTCCAAAACAGATATACAGTCAAAAGTCTTTAATC